CTTGTCATTCATTTTCAAGCAAGAATACAGGAACCCTTTTGACTAGGTATTTACTAAGAGGGACCTGAAACCTGCTGGGTAGGGAAGACCCAATCTCAGACCCATTTGGAGGTATCCAAGCAACTCAGAAAACTGAGTTTTACTTCCAATTTACACTTTGCTCAGCCCACTTTCATTTATTTATTTATTTACTCTTCCCCTCTTTATTTACTCTTCTCCTCTCTTCATTTAATTGTGGGTGCATGCAACAACCAGCTCAGGGTCCTTGGTGCCTTTGTGCCCGAAATATTGAGTCCCAGTAGAGGCCAACCTGATATGTCTACTGGGAGAGTGGGGTTTTCCCTCAGCAAATATAAATTCTCTCTCGCTCATACTTTCTCTCCGTCTCTCTCGAGCTCCTCTCCTCCCGCGTCGCGCCGCTCTCTCTCTCTATCCTCGTCTCTCTTCTCTCTCTCTCACACACCACACACACACCACACACACACACACACGTGGTAAAACACTCACTGTTCACATAGGCCGCACTCACTGCAAATCGGGAGTGTGGGTCCTGCGGTCAGTGACATCTTAAACGCTGGAATGGTAGGAAAGTATGAGCTCTCCAATCTTGTGGGGTCAGTAACTGAACTCAACATCAAAATTAGTTTTGTGTATGTTTGACAAGTTGAACTAAATGGAGTTAGATTCCAAAGACTAGCCTCACAGCCGTGTCTGCAAGTCATTTCCTGCCCACTAGGGGGTGCACGAAGCTTGTCTGTTTCTACAGTTCAGGCCTAAGGGTGACTAGCAGGAACTTTTACACAGAATGGTCCAGTGCAGAGAGCATTGCACTTCCGGGAACTAATTTCATCCTCCTAACACCTCATAGTGTAAACTAATACAAAGAACAGTTCAATAAGTTGCTTGCTTTGTGGCTTTGGAGAAAATAAGAATTCCTCTGTCCACCATGGTATCTATGAAATGGAAGTGAGATCTTAGCTCCAGAGCTGATGGAGATAAATGCCTGATAAGGTGGCTGAGCCAAATCTATCTTCCCTCTCTCCAGTTCACCTGGACCCTTCCGCTGGCCTGACCACAAGGTCAGATCTCTGCCATCTCACAACCCCTCACTCACGCATGTCCCCTCTTCCCACCCTGTGTCCCCTCACTGCCCACTTCCTTAAAGAATCTTCTGCACCCTGCTCACTCCCTACCTGCTGTCCATGCCTTGCCCCACTGCAGTCTGTCCTCCTGGGAATTTACTCACATCATAAACAACCACACACTTGATTATTCCCGCCTTGGACTCTCTTCTCCCTGGATACTGCATCACCATGGTCTTGGGGTCTCCTATAATGGGACTGCTTTCCCTCTGCCGCCTTCCTTCTGAACTCCTGACCCTTGTCAAACACGTCAATATGATTGTTAGGCAAGTTTCATAACTATGAACATTTCTCTATGTGAAATGTGAAACCACCCAGGAGGAGGGCAGGAAGGGAGTAGATGTGTGAGGGAGGAGAGTCCCAGAGGAAGACAAAGGGCGGGAAGGAGCCGATTTCTTTCCTTGGACAAGGCAGTTCTCCAATGTGAGACTAGAGTGGGTAACCATCACCCGGTGCCTATGGAAACTGCAGGTTCTAGCTTCCTTTTTAGAGAGCCTGGTGCAGAAGGTATGGAGTGAGGTCAGGGACTCTAATGAGTTTCCACAAGTGTCCCAGGTGATTCTGATGCAAGGGGTCCCCAGGATCCCTGAGCAAAGCTGCCACACTTGGCCCAGAGGAGAAAGTGTGAGGCTGCAGGTGCTGGGATTTGAGGGGCTCCAGCTGGGATACCCTGCTCTGCTGACCTGTCTTCTTTCCACCCAGATAAGCACATTAATGGGATTCCTTCTGGTTTTCAACTTTTCTCAGGTGAGTTGGTCAGGTTCTCTGTTTGGACCTCAGGCCCTGCTGAACCCTTGGCCCTCTTTGATCCATAAATACCCAGTTGGGGCTCAGACCCTCAGGGAAACTTCCCCAGCTAGGCTCCTCCATCACCTCCTCATCTCACTGCAGGGACCAACACAGGCCCCTGGCCTCAGGGAGATCCTGTCTCCTTTGAGTGTGTGTTTGGGGAGCAAGGACTAAGCTGTTGTGAGTGACCACTTCTGTTCCTCTCTCCAACAGCAGGCATATGTCAGCCACAGTCCTTAAGTGCAAAGGAGACTGTAAAGTGGGATGTGATCCCTCCACGAGGCCCCTTTTTACAACTGAAACCCCACGTGATTGCCTTTGCCGTCCTCATCTGAGCCACTGGGCTCTGGTTCCCTGGGCAAAGGGCAGTTGTCGATGGAAAAGAGGGGTCGGGGAGTAGAGGGCAGAATATGGACAATCTGAGAGTCTTCAGAGATTAACTTTTGGGTGTTCATTTGATTTCTCTCTAGGCATCGGCGAACCTCCCAGTGGTGAGTGTGTGTTTGCTGGGGTTGGGGAGGGTCATTGTACTCATCTGGTGAGCAGGGTAGATGAGACCTGCCTTTGCCACCATGTCCCCCGGGGAGTGGCCATAGGTCTGTGGGATGGGAAGGGTAAGAAAGGGTTGGGAATGGTCAGGAAAGGTTGGAAAGTTGGAGGGATGGACTGGCAAGGAGCAGGAAGAAGTTCAGGAAGAGGAGGGTGGCAGTAGAGGGCAGAACCCTTGGAAGTGTCTCTAAAGCAAATTTGGCAGACCAGAAAGGGAGAAGGCCACTCTTTCTATAAAGAATACAGGAACCCTTCTGACTAGGTGTTTACTAAGAGGGACCTGAAGCCTGCTGGGTAGAGAAGACCCAGTCTCAGAACCCACATTGGAGGTTTCCAGCAACTCAGAAAACCGAGTTTTATTTTTAAATTTATACTTTCCTTAACCCCAGTTTTCATTCACTCACCCATTTGTTCATTCATTCATTATTAGTTAATTAATTAATTAATTAGTTCCTTCATTTGTGGGTGCATGCAACAACCAGCTCAGGGTCCTTGGTGCCTTTGTGGCCAAATGTTGAGTGTCAGGTAGAGGTCAACCTGATATGTCTACTTGGAGATTGGGGGTTCCCTCCCCACATACAAAATTCCCTCTCTCTCTTTTTCTCTCTCACACACACATACGTGGCACGCACACACACACACACACACACACACACACACATTCACTGTTCACTATAGAGTCCTCACTGCAACATGTGGTGAAGGGTGGGTCCTGGTGTCAGTGACCTCCTGTCACTGGCTGTGGATGGAATGAGTATGAAGTCTCCAGTCTTGTGGGGTCTGTGGCTGAACTCAAACTTCCAAATTATGTTTTGTGGTGTTGACAAGTGTGAACTAAATGGAGTTAGAGTCCAAAGACTAGCCTCACAGCGGTGTCTGCAAGTCATTTCCGGCCCACTAGGGGGTGCACGAAGCTTGTCTGTTTCTACAGTTCAGGCCTAAGGGTGACTAGCAGGAACTTTTACACAGAATGGCCCAGTGCAGTGAGCATTGCACTTCCGTGAACTAATTTCATCCTCCTAACACCTCATAGTGTAAACTAATATGAAGAACAGTTCAATAAGTTGCTTGCTTTGTGGCTTTGGAGAAAATAAGTATTCCTCTGTCCTCCATGTTATCTATGAAATGGAAGTGAGATCTTAGCTCCAGAGCTGATGGAGATAAATGTCTGATAAGGTGGCTGAGCCAAATCTATCTTCCCTCTCTCCAGTTCACCTGGACCCTTCCGCTGGCCTGACCACAAGGTCAGATCTCTGCCATCTCACAACCCCTGACTCACCCGTGTCCCCTCTTCCCACCCCGTGTCCCCTCACTGCCCACTTCCTTAAAGAATCTTCTGCACCCTGCTCACTCCCTACCTGCTGTCCATGCCTCGCCCCACTGCAGTCTGTCCTCCTGGGAATTTACTCACATCATCATCAACAACCACACACTTGATTATTCCCGACTTGGACTCTCTTCTCCTTGGATACTGTGTCACTATGTTCTTGGGGTCTCCTATAATGGGACTGCTTTCCCTCTGCCTCCTTCCTTCATGGACTCCTGGCCCTTTCAAGTAATTAGTAAAACGATTGTTAGGAATTTCAGAACTTTTAAAATTTCTCTATGTGAAATTGAAACCATCCAGGCGTAGGGCAGAAAGTGCCTAGATGTGTAGGGAAGAGATGTGTCTGGGAGAGGAAGACAAAGTGTATGAAGAATGTGATTTCATTTCCATCGAAAAGGCAGTTCTCCAGTGTGAGACTAGAGTGGGTAACCATCACCCGGTGCCTATGGAAACTGCAGGTTCTAGCTTCCTTATTAGAGCGCCTGGTGCAGAACGTACGGTGTGAGGTCAGGGACTATAATGAGTTTCCACAAGTGTCCCAGGTGATTCTGATGCAAGGGGTCCCCAGGATCCCTGAGCAAAGCTGCACACCAGGCTCAGAGGAGGAAGTGTAGGGGCTGCAGGTGCTGGGATGGGGGAGGCTCCAGCAGGGATACCCTGCTCTGATGACCTGGCATCTTCCCACTTGGACATTCTTCACATTATAGATGAATATACAGATGATGATGATGATGAGAAAACCCTTTTAGGAGGTAAGTTGGCCATAATGCTTAGACCTTGACCTCCCCTTTGTAAATTTAAATTCTTTATTGTTTAAAGTATTACATATGTCTCCTTTTTCTCCCATTAACCTCTCCCTGGCTGTTTCCATCCCTCAGCACATGCCCTCACTCCCCTACTGTCTGTGCATATGCGTTATGCTTATATACATGCATACAAGTCCTTTGGTTGATCTCTTACCCCCCACCCTCCCCTGCCTTCCCTCTCAGGTTGTACAGTCTCTTTGATGCTTCTATGTCTCTGGCTCTATTGTTCATCAGTTTATGTTGTTCATTATATTCCACAAATGAGTGAGATCACGTGATATTTATCTTTCTCCGACTGGCCTATTTCACTTAGCAAAATACTCTCCCGGTCCATCCATGCTGTTTTAAATGGTAAGAGTTTCTTTTTTACAGCAGCATAGCATTCCATTGTGCAGATGTCCCCCAGTTTTTTAATCCACTCATCTGCTGATGGGCACTTACGCTATTTCCAAATCTTAGCTATGGTAAATCGTGCTGCTATGAACATAGGTGTACCTTGACCCTCTTTGACTCATAAACATGCTGCTGGGGCTCAGCCCTGGCAACCCCACAGGGAAACCTTCCCCAGCCAGGCTCCTCCACCATCTCCTCATCTCACTGCTGTGACCCACACAGGCCCCTGACCACAGGGAGATCCTGTCTTCTTGAGTCCTGGGGTAGGAGTGCGTGTGTTTGGGGAGCAGAGACTAAGCTGTTGTGAGTGACCACTTCTGTTCCTCTTTCCAACAGCAGGCATATGTCAGCCACAGTCCTTAAGTGGACAGGAGACTGTAAAGTGGGATGTGATCCCTCCATGAGGCCCCTGTTTTACAACCGAAACCCCACGTGATTGCCTTTGCTGTCCTCATCTGAGCCATTGGGCTCTGGTTCCCTGGGCAAAGGGCAGTTGTGGATGGAAAAGAGGGGTCGGGGAGTAGAGGGCAGAAGGTAGACAGACCGAGAGTCTTCAGAGATTAACTTTTGGGTGTTCATTTGATTTCTCTCTAGGCATCGGCGAACCTCCCAGTGGTGAGTGTGTGTTTTTGGGGTTGGGGAGGGTCATTGTACTCATCTGGTGAGCAGGGTAGATGAGACCTGCCTTTGCCACCATGTCCCCCGGGGAGTGGCCATAGGTCTGTGGGATGGGAAGGGTAAGAAAGGGTTGGGAATGGTCAGGAAAGGTTGGAAAGTTGGAGGGATGGACTGGCAAGGAGCAGGAAGAAGTTCAGGAAGAGGAGGGTGGCAGTAGAGGGGAGAACCCTTGGAAGTGTCTCTAAAGCAAATTTGGCAGACCAGAAAGGGAGAAGGCCACTCTTTCTATAAAGAATACAGGAACCCCTCTGAGTAGGTATTTACTGAGAGGGACCTGAAGCCTGCTGGGTAGGGAAGACCCAAAATTGGAGGTTTCCATCAACTCAGAAATTGAGTTTAATTTTCAAATGTTTACTTTCTTTAGCCCCAGTTTTCATTCATTCATTCATTATTTCTTTATTAATTAACTAGTGGCCTGGTGCACGAAATTCTTGCACTGTGTGGTGGGAGAGTGTCCCTCAGCCCAGCCTGCCCCCTCTCACATACTGGGAGCCCTCAGGCGTTGACCCCCATCACCCTCCAATCACAGGATCGGCCCCTTGCCCAGGCCTGACGCCTCTGACAGAGGCGTCATGCCTGGGCAGGGGACCCTCATTTCCCCCCATCACTGCTTCTGCCCCCAGCCCAGGCCTGATGCCTCCGGCCCAGGCATCAGGCCTGGGCAGGGAACCCCAAGACCCCTCCGATTGCTGGCTCTGCCCCTTGCCCAGGCCTGATGCCTCGGCCAGAGGCGTAAACCCCCATCACCCTCTGATCGCCTGATCGGCCACTTGCCCAGGCCTGACGCCTCCGCCAGAGGTGTCAGGCTTGGACAGGGGACCCCCATCTCCCCCCGATCACTGGCTCTGGCCCCCACCCAGGCCTGAGGCCTCTGGCCCAGGAATCATGCCTGGGCAGGGGACCCCCATCTCCCTCTGATCGCTTGCTCCACCCCCCGCCCAAGCCTGACGCCTCTGACCCAGGCTTCAGGCCTGGGCAAGGGGACCATCATATCCCCCCAATCCCCAGCTCCGCCCCCCGCCCAGGCCTGATGCCTCGGCCAGAGGAGTTGACCCTCATCACCCTCCGATCACCAATCACCGGATCGGCCCCTTGACCAGGCCTGAGGTCTCCGGCAGAGGTGTCAGGCCTGGGCAGGGGACCCCCAGCTCCCCGCGGTTGCAGGCTCCGCGCCTGCCCAGGTCTAATGCCTCTGGCCTAGGGGTCAGGCCCAGGCAGCGGGGACCTGCAGTGGCAGCGGGGGGCGCCGTGATTGCGTGGCTCCGCCCCTGCCCCTGCAGGACGCCTCTGGTTGAAGCGTCCGGCCCGGGCAGCGGGGACCTGCAGCTGCAGCGGCCCCGCAATCGTGGGCTTCACTTTAGGCCCAGGCAAGGGACCCCTAGCTCCTGGGACTGCCAGCTTCGACTGTGCCCAGCTCCCATTGCTGGCTCCACCCCTACTTCCTGCTATCACTCGCCAGGGCGGCAAAGGCGCCTGATTGTCCAATCATGGCTGGGGGGCAGGGCAAATGCCGTGCCTTTGCCCTGCCCCCCAGCCCCTAGCTCCCCCCTGGGTATCCGATCACTGTCAGTGGCAGGGGGCTTCTTCCTGCTTTCCCTTTCACCTCCATGCATTGTGCCTACGTATGCAAATTAACTGCCATCTCTGTTGGCAGTTAACTGCCATCTTAGTTGGCAGTTAATTTGCATATAGCCCTGATTAGCCAATGAAAAGGTAGCGTCGTATGCCAATTACCATTTTTCTCTTTTATTAGTGTAGATTATTTCCTTCATTTGTGGATGCATGCAACAACCAGCTCAGGGTCCTTGGTGCCTTTGTGCCCAAATGTTGAATCTCAAGTAGAGGTCAACCTGATATGTCTACTTGGATATTGGGGGTTCCCTCACCACATATAACATTCTCTCTCTCTCTCTTTCTCTCTCACTCGCTCTCTCTCTTTCTCTCTTTCTCTTTCACACACACACACACACACACACACACACACACACACACACACGTGTACACACTAACTGATCACTATAAAGTCCTCCCTGCAACATGTGGTGAAGGGTGGGTCCTGGTGTCAGTGACCTCCTGTCACTGGCTGTGGATGGAATGAGTATGAAGTCTCCAGTCTTGTGGGGTCAGTGGCTGAACTCAAACTTCCAAATTATGTTTTGAAAGTGTTGACAAGTGTGAACCAAATGGAATTAGATTCCAAAGGCTAACCTCACAGCCATGTCTGCAAGTCATTTCCTGCCCACTAGGGGGTGGACGAAGCTTATCTATTTCTACAGTTCAGGCCTAAGGGTGACTAGCAGAAACTTTTACACAGAATGGCCCAGTGCAGTGAGCATTGCACTTCCATGAACTAATTTCATCCTCCTAACACCTCATAGTGTAAACTAATACAAAGAATAGTTCAATAAGTTGCTCGCTTTGTGGCTTTGGAGAAAAGAATTCCTCTGTCCTCCATGTTATCTATGAAATGGAAGTGAGATCTTAGCTCCAGAGCTGACGGAGATAAATGTCTGGTAAGGTGGCTGAGCCAAATCTATCTTCCCTCTCTCCAGTTCACCTGGACCCTTCCGCTGGCCTGACCACAAGGTCAGATCTCTGCCATCTCACAACCCCTCACTCACGCATGTCCCCTCTTCCCACCCCGTGTCCCCTCACTGCCCACTTCCTTAAAGAATCTTCTGCACCCTGCTCACTCCCTACCTGCTGTCCATGCCTCGCCCCACTGCAGTCTGTCCTCCTGGGAATTTACTCACATCAACATCAACAACCACACACTTGATTATTCCCGCCTTGGACTCTCTTCTCCCTGGATACTGCATCACCATGGTCTTGGGGTCTCCTGTAATGGGACTGCTTTCCCTCTGCCTCCTTCCTTCATGGGCTCCTGGCCCTTGTCAAACACGTCAATATGATTGTTAGGCAAGTTTCATAACTATGAACATTTCTCTATGTGAAATGTGAAACCACCCAGGAGGAGGGCAGGAAGGGAGTAGATGTGTGAGGGAGGAGAGTCCCAGAGGAAGACAAAGGGCGGGAAGGAGCCGATTTCTTTCCTTGGACAAGGCAGTTCTCCAATGTGAGACTAGAGTGGGTAACCATCACCCGGTGCCTATGGAAACTGCAGGTTCTAGCTTCCTTTTTAGAGAGCCTGGTGCAGAATGTATGGAGTGAGGTCAGGGACTCTAATGAGTTTCCACAAGTATCCCAGGTGATTCTGATGCAAGGGGTCCCCAGGATCCCTGAGCAAAGCTGCCACACCTGGCCCAGAGGAGGAAGTGTTGGACTGCAGGCGCTGGGATGTGAGAGGCGCTATCTAGCAGGGATACCCTGCTCTGCTGACCTATCTTCTTTCCACACAGATAAGTACAGCAAAGCGAAGCGTATATGTCTTAGATTTCCAGCAGGTGAGTTGGTCAGGTTCTCTGCTTGGACCTCAGGCCCCGCTGAGCCCTTGACCATCTTTGACCCATAAACATGCTGCTGGGGCTCAGCCCCAACAGACCCTCAGGGAAAACTTCCCCAGCCAGGCTCCTCCACCACCTCATCTCACTGCTGTGACCCACACAGGACCCTGGTCTCAGGAAGATCCTCTCTCCTTTGAGTACTGGGGTAGGAGTGTGTGTGTTGGGGAAGCAGAGACTAAGCTGTTGTGAGTGACCACTTCTGTTTCTCTTTCCAACATCAGGCATATGTCAACCACAGTCCTTAAGTGGACAGGAGACTGTAAAGTGGGATGTGATCCCTCCATGAGGCCCCTGTTGTACAACCGAAACCCCACGTGATTGCCTTTGCTGTCCTCATCTGAGCCATTGGGCTCTGGTTCCCTGGGCAAAGGGCAGTTGTGGATGGAAAAGAGGGGTCGGGGAGTAGAGGGCAGAAGGTAGACAGACGGAGAGTCTTCAGAGATTAACTTTTGGGTGTTCATTTGATTTCTCTCTAGGCACTGACGAACCTCCCAGTGGTGAGTGTGTGTTTGCTGGGGTTGGGGAGGGTCATTGTACTCATCTGGTGAGCAGGGTAGATGAGACCTGCCTTTGCCACCATGTCCCCCGGGGAGTGGCCATAGGTCTGTGGGATGGGAAGGGTAAGAAAGGGTTGGGAATGGTCAGGAAAGGTTGGAAAGTTGGAGGGATGGACTGGCAAGGAGCAAGAAGAAGTTCAGGAAGAGGAGGGTGGCAGTAGAGGGCAGAACCCTTGGAAGTGTCTCTAAAGCAAATTTGGCAGACCAGAAAGGGAGAAGGCCACTCTTTCTATAAAGAATACAGCAACCCTTCTGACTAGGTGTTTACTGAGAGGGACCTGAAGCCTGCTGGGTAGGGAAGACCCAGTCTCAGAACCCACATTGGAGGTTTCCAGCAACTCAGAAAACCGAGTTTTATTTTTGAATTTATACTTTCCTTAGCCCCAGTTTTCATTCACTCACCCATTTCTTCATTCATTCATTCATTCATTCATTCATTAATTCATTATTAGTTAATTATTTAATTAGTTCCTTCATTTGTGGGTGCATGCAACAACCAGCTCAGGGTCCTTGGTGCCTTTGTGGCCAAATGTTGAGTGTCAGGTAGAGGTCAACCTGATATGTCTATTTGGAGACTGGGGGTTCCCTCCCCACATACAACATTCTCTCTCTCTCTCTCTCTCTCTCTCTCTCCCTCTCACACGCACACACACGTGTTCACACTCTCTGTTCACTATCGTCCTCACTGCAACATCTGGTGAAGGATGGGTCCTGCTATTAGTGACCTCCTGTCACTGGCTATGGATGGAATGAGTATGAAGTCTCCAGTCTTGTGGGGTCAGTGGCTGAACTCAATCGACAAAATTATGTTTTGAAAGTGTTGACAAGTGTGAACTAAATGGAGTTAGATTCCAAAGGCTAGCCTCACAGCCGTTTCTGCAAGTCATTTCCTGCCCACTAGGGGGTGCACGAAGCTTGTCTGTTTCTACAGCTCAGGCCTAAGGGTGACTAACAGGAACTTTTACAAAGAATGGCCCAGCGCAGTGAGCATTGCACTTCCGTGAACTAATTTCATCCTCCTATCACCTCATAGTGTAAACTAATACAAAGAACAGTTCAATAAGTTGCTTGCTTTGTGGCTTTGGAGAAAATAAGAATTCCTCTGTCCTCCATGTTATCTATGAAATGGAAGTGAGATCTTAGCTCCAGAGCTGATGGAGATAAGTGTCTAATAAGGTGGCTGAGCCAAATCCATCTTCCCTCTCTCCAGTTCACCTGGACCCTTCCCCTGACCTGACCACAAGGTCAGATCTCTGCCACCTCATAACCCCTGACTCACTCGTGTCCCCTCTTCCCACCCCGTGTCCCCTCACTGCCCACTTCCTTAAAGAATCTTCTGCACCCTGCTCACTCCCTACCTGCTGTCCATGCCTCGCCCCACTGCAGTCTGTCCTCTTGGGAATTTACTCACATCATCATCAAAACCACACACTTGATTATTCTCGCCTTGGAGTCTCTAATCCTTGGATTCCTGGTCACCATGATCTTGGGGTCTCCTATAATGGGACTGCTTTCCCTCTGCCCCCTTCCTTCATGGACTCCTGGCCCTTGTCAAGTATTTAGTAAACATGATTTTTAGGAATTTCAGAACTTTTAAAATTTCTCTATGTGAAATGTGAAACCACCCAGGCGTAGGGCAGAAAGTGCCTAGATGTGTAGGGAAGAGATGTGTCTGGGAGAGGAAGACAAAGTGTATGAGGAAGGTGATTTCATTTCCATGGACAAAGCAGTTCTCCAGTGTGAGACTTGAGTGGGTAACCATCACCCGGTGCCTATGGAAACTGCAGGTCCTAGCTTCCTTATTAGAGAGCCTGGTGCAGAAGGTATGGAGTGAGGTCAGGGACTCTAATGAGTTTCCACAAGTGTCCCAGGTGATTCTGATGCAAGGGGTCCCCAGGATCCCTGAGCAAAGCTGCACACCTAGCCCAGATGAGGAAGTGTAGGGGCTGCAGCTGCTGGGATATGAGGGGCTCCAGCAGGTATACCTTGTTCTGCTGACCTGGCTTCTTCCCACCTAGGCACTCTTCACATTACAGATGATGATGATGATGATGATGGTGCTGGTGATGATGATGATGAGAAAACCTTTTCAGCAGGTAAGTTGGCCATAATGCTTAGACCTTGACCTCCCCTTTGTAAATTTAAATTCTTTATTGTTTAAAGTATTACATATGTCTCCTTTTTGTCCCATTAACCTCTCCCTGGCTGTTCCCATCCCTCAGCACATGCCCTCACTCCCCTACTGTCTGTGCATATGCGTTATGCTTATATACATGCATACAAGTCCTTTGGTTGATCTCTTACCTCCCACCCTCCCCTGCCTTCCCTCTCAGGTTGTACAGTCTCTTTGATGCTTCTATGTCTCTGGCTCTATTGTTCATCAGTTTATGTTGTTCATTATATTCCACAAATGAGTGAGATCACGTGATATTTATCTTTCTCCGACTGGCCTATTTCACTTAGCAAAATACTCTCCCGGTCCATCCATGCTGTTTTAAATGGTAAGAGTTTCTTTTTTACAGCAGCATAGCATTCCATTGTGCAGATGTCCCCCAGTTTTTTAATCCACTCATCTGCTGATGGGCACTTACGCTATTTCCAAATCTTAGCCATGGTAAATTGTGCTGCTATGAACATCAGGGTACCTTGACCCTCTTTGACCCATAAACACCCTGCTGGGGCTCATTCCCGGCAACCCCACAGGGAAACCTTCCCCAGCCAGGCTCCTCCACCATCTCCTCATCTCACTGCTGTGACCCACACAGGCCCCTGTCCACAGGGAGATCCTTTCTTCTTGGAGTCCTGGGGTAGGAGTGCGTGTGTTTGGGGAGCAGAGACTAAGCTGTTGTGATTGACCACTTCTGTTACTCTTTCCAACAGAAGGCATATGTCAGCCACAGTCCTTAAGTGGACAGGAGACTGTAAAGTGGGATGTGATCCCTCCACGAGGCCCCTGTTGTACAACCGAAACCCCACGTGATTGCCTTTGCTGTCCTCATCTGAGCCACTGGGCTCTGGTTCCCTGGGCAAAGGGCAGTTGTGGATGGAAAAGAGGGGTCGGGGAGTAGAGGGCAGAAGGTAGACAGACCGAGAGTCTTCAGAGATTAACTTTTGGGTGTTCATTTGATTTCTCTCTAGGCACTGACGAACCTCCCAGTGGTGAGTGTGTGTTTTTGGGGTTGGGGAGGGTCATTGTACTCATCTGGTGAGCAGGGTAGATGAGACCTGCCTTTGCCACCATGTCCCCCGGGGAGTGGCCATAGGTCTGTGGGATGGGAAGGGTAAGAAAGGGTTGGGAATGGTCAGGAAAGGTTGGAAAGTTGGAGGGATGGACTGGCAAGGAGCAGGAAGAAGTTCAGGAAGAGGAGGGTGGCAGTAGAGGGCAGAACCCTTGGAAGTGTCTCTAAAGCAAATTTGGCAGACCAGAAAGGGAGTAGGCCACTCTTTCTATAAAGAATACAGGAACCCCTCTGAGTAGGTGTTTACTAAGAGGGACCTGAACCTGCTGGGTAGGGAAGACCCAAAATTGGAGGTTTCCATCAACTCAGAAATTGAGTTTAATTTTCAAATGTTTACTTTCTTTAGCCCCAGTTTTCATTCATTCATTCATTATTTCTTTATTAATTAACTAGGGGCCTGGTGCACGAAATTCTTGCACTGTGTGGTGGGAGAGTGTCCCTCAGCCCAGCCTGCCCCCCCTCACATACTGGGAGCCCTCAGGCGTTGACCCCCATCACCCTCCAATCACAGGATCGGCCCCTTGCCCAGGCCTGACGCCTCTGACAGAGGCGTCATGCCTGGGCAGGGGACCCTCATTTCCCCCCATCACTGCTTCTGCCCCCAGCCCAGGCCTGATGCCTCCGGCCCAGGCATCAGGCCTGGGCAGGGAACCCCAAGACCCCTCCGATTGCTGGCTCTGCCCCTTGCCCCGGCCTGATGCCTCGGCCAGAGGCGTAAACCCCCATCACCCTCTGATCGCCTGATCGGCCACTTGCCCAGGCCTGACGCCTCCGCCAGAGGTGTCAGGCTTGGACAGGGGACCCCCATCTCCCCCCGATCACTGGCTCTGGCCCCCACCCAGGCCTGAGGCCTCTGGCCCAGGAATCATGCCTGGGCAGGGGACCCCCATCTCCCTCTGATCGCTTGCTCCACCCCCCGCCCAAGCCTGACGCCTCTGACCCAGGCTTCAGGCCTGGGCAAGGGGACCGTCATATCCCCCCAATCCCCAGCTCCGCCCCCCGCCCAGGCCTGATGCCTCGGCCAGAGGAGTTGACCCTCATCACCCTCCGATCACCAATCACCGGATCGGCCCCTTGACCAGGCCTGAGGTCTCCGGCAGAGGTGTCAGGCCTGGGCAGGGGACCCCCAGCTCCCCGCGGTTGCAGGCTCCGCGCCTGCCCAGGTCTAATGCCTCTGGCCTAGGGGTCAGGCCCGGGCAGCGGGGACCTGCAGTGGCAGTGGGGGGCGCCGTGATTGCGTGGCTCCGCCCCTGCCCCTGCAGGACGCCTCTGGTTGAAGCGTCCGGCCCGGGCAGCGGGGACCCGCAGCTGCAGCAGCCCCGCAATCGTGGGCTTCGCTTTAGGCCCAGGCAAGGGACCCCTAGCTCCTGGGACTGCCAGCTTCGACCATGCCCAGCTCCCATCGCTGGCTCCACCCCTACTTCCTGCTATCACTCGCCAGGGCGGCAAAGGCGCCTGATTGTCCAATCATGGCTGGGGGGCAGGGCAAATGCCGTGCCTTTGCCCTGCCCCCCAGCCCCTAGCTCCCCCCTGGGTTTCCGATCACTGTCAGCGGCAGGGGGCTTCTTCCTGCTTTCCCTTTCACCTCCATGCATTGTGCCTACGTATGCAAATTAACTGCCATCTCTGTTGGCAGTTAACTGCCATCTTAGTTGGCAGTTAATTTGCATATAGCCCTGATTAGCCAATGAAAAGGTAGCGTCGTATGCCAATTACCATTTTTCTCTTTTATTAGTGTAGATTATTTCCTTCATTTGTGGATGCATGCAACAACCAGCTCAGGGTCCTTGGTGCCTTTGTGCCCAAATGTTGAATCTCAAGTAGAGGTCAACCTGATATGTCTACTTGGATATTGGGGGTTCCCTCACCACATATAACATTCTCTCTCTCTCTCTCTCTCTCACTCACTCTCTGTCTTTCTCTCTTTCTCTTTCACACACACACACACACACACACACACACACACACACACACACACACGTGTACACACTAACTGATCACTATAAAGTCCTCCCTGCAACATGTGGTGAAGGGTGGGTCCTGGTGTCAGTGACCTCCTGTCACTGGCTGTGGATGGAATGAGTATGAAGTCTCCAGTCTTGTGGGGTAGGTGGATGAACTCAAACTTCCAAATTATGTTTTGAAAGTGTTGACAAGTGTGAACTAAATGGAATTAGATTCCAAAGGCTAACCTCACAGCCGTGTCTGCAAGTCATTTCCTGCCCACTAGGGGGTGGACGAAGCTTATCTATTTCTACAGTTCAGGCCTAAGGGTGACTAGCAGAAACTTTTACACAGAATGGCCCAGTGCAGTGAGCATTGCACTTCCGGGAACTAGTTTCATCCTCCTAAAGGCTCATAGTGTAAACTAATACAAAGAATAGTTCAATAAGTTGCTCGCTTTGTGGCTTTGGAGAAAATAAGAATTCCTCTGTCCTCCATGTTATCTATGAAATGGAAGTGAGATCTTAGCTCCAGAGCTGATGGAGATAAATGCCTGATAAGGTGGCTGAGCCAAATCTATCTTCCCTCTCTCCAGTTCACCTGGACCCTTCCGCTGGCCTGACCACAAGGTCAGATCTCTGCCATCTCAGAACCCCTCACTCACGCATGTCCCCTCTTCCCACCCCGTGTCCCCTCACTGCCTACTTCCTTAAAGAATCTTCTGCACCCTGCTCACTCCCTACCTGCTGTCCATGCCTCGCCCCTCTGCAGTCTGTCCTCCTGGTAATTTACTCACATCATCTTCAACAACCACACACTTGATTATTCCCGCCTTGGACTCTCTTCTCCCTGGATACTGCATCACCATGGTCTTGGGGTCTCCTATAATGGGACTGCTTTCCCTCTGCCTCCTTCCTTCATGGGCTCCTGGCCCTTGTCAAAAACATCAATATGATTGTTAGGCAAGTTTCATAACTATGAACATTTCTCTATGTGAAATGTGAAACCACCCAGGAGGAGGGCAGGAAGGGAGTAGATGTGTGAGGGAGGAGAGTCCCAGAGGAAGACAAAGGGCGGGAAGGAGCCGATTTCTTTCCTTGGACAAGGCAGTTCTCCAATGTGAGACTAGAGTGGGTAACCATCACCCGGTGCCTATGGAAACTGCAGGTTCTAGCTTCCTTTTTAGAGAGCCTGGTGCAGAAGGTACGGAGTGAGGTCAGGGACTCTAATGAGTTTCCACAAGTATCCCAGGTGATTCTGATGCAAGGGGTCCCCAGGATCCCTGAGCAAAGCTGCCACACTTGGCCCAGAGGAGGAAGTGTGAGGCTGCAGGTGCTGGGATTTGAGGGGCTCCAGCTGGGATACCCTGCTCTGCTGACCTGTCTTCTTTCCACCCAGATAAGCACATTAATGGGATTCCTTCTGGTTTTCAACTTTTCTCAGGTGAGTTGGTCAGGTTCTCTGTTTGGACCTCAGGCCCTGCTGAACCCTTGACCCTCTTTGATCCATAAATACCCAGTTGGGGCTCAGACTCTCAGGGAAACTTCCCCAGCTAGGCTCCTCCATCACCTCCTCATCTCACTGCAGGGACCAACACAGGCCCCTGGCCTCAGGGAGATCCTGTCTCCTTTGAGTGTGTGTTTGGGGAGCAAGGACTAAGCTGTTGTGAGTAACCACTTCTGTTCCTCTTTCCAACAGCAGGCATATGTCAGCCACAGTCCTTAAGTGCAAAGGAGACTGTAAAGTGGGATGTGATCCCTCCACGAGGCCCCTTTTTACAACTGAAACCCCACGTGATTGCCTTTCCGGTCCTCATCTGAGCCACTGGGCTCTGGTTCCCTAGGCAAAGGGCAGTTGTCGATGGAAAAGAGGGGTCGGGGAGTAGAGGGCAGAATATGGACAATCTGAGAGTCTTCAGAGATTAACTTTTGGGTGTTCATTTGATTTCTCTCTAGGCATCGGCGAATCTCGTGGTGAGTGTGTGTTTGCTGGGGTTGGGGAGGGTCATTGTACTCATCTGGTGAGTAGGGTAGATGAGACCTGCCTTTGCCACCATGTCCCCCGGGGAGTGGCCATAGGTCTGTGGGATGGGAAGGGTAAGAAAGGGTTGGGAATGGTCAGGAAAGGTTGGAAAGTTGGAGGGATGGACTGGCAAGGAGCAGGAAGAAGTTCAGGAAGAGGAGGGTGGCAGTAGAGGGCAGAACCCTTGGAAGTGTCTCTAAAGCAAATTTGGCAGACCAGAAAGGGAGAAGGCCACTCTTTCTATAAAGAATACAGGAACCCCTCTGAGTAGGTGTTTACTGAGAGGGACCTGAAGCCTTCTGGGTAGGGAAGACCCAGTCTCAGAACCCAAATTGGAGGTTTCCAGCAACTCAGAAAACCGAGTTTTATTTTTAAATTTATACTTTCCTTAGCCCCAGTTTTCATTCACTCACCCATTTCTTCATTCATTCATTATTAGTTAATTAATTAATTAGTTCCTTCATTTGTGGATGTATGCAACAACCAGCTCAGGTTCCTTGGTGCCTTTATGGCCAAATGTTGAGTGTCAGGTAGAGGTACCTGATATGTCTACTTGGAGATTGGGGGTTCCCTCCCCACATACAACATTCCCTCTCTCTCTTTTTCTCTCTCACACACACATACGTGCGCACGCACACACACACACACACACACACACACACACACACATTCACTGTTCACTATAGAGTCCTCACTGCAACATGTGGTGAAGGGTGGGTCCTGGTGTCAGTGACCTCCTGTCACTGGCTGTGGATGGAATGAGTATGAAGTCTCCAGTCTTGTGGGGTCTGTGGCTGAACTCAAACTTCCAAATTATGTCTTGAAAATGTTGACAAGTGTGAACTAAATGGCCTTAGAGTCCAAAGACTAGCCTCACAGCCGTGTCTGCAAGTCATTTCCTGCCCACTAGGGGGTGCACGAAGCTTGTCTGTTTCTACAGTTCAGGCCTAAGGGTGACTAGCAGGAACTTTTACAAAGAATGGCCCAGTGCAGTGAGCATTGCACTTCCGTGAACTAATTTCATCCTCCTAACACCTCATAGTGTAAACTAATACAAAGAACAGTTCAATAAGTTGCTTGCTTTGTGGCTTTGGAGAAAATAAGTATTCCTCTGTCCTCCATGTTATCTATGAAATGGAAGTGAGATCTTAGCTCCAGAGCTGATGGAGATAAATGTCTGGTAAGGTGGCTGAGCCAAATCTATCTTCCCTCTCTCCAGTTCACCTGGACCCTTCCGCTGGCCTGACCACAAGGTCACATCTCTGCCATCTCACAACCCCTCACTCACGCATGTCCCCTCTTCCCACCCCGTGTCCCCTCACTGCCCACTTCCTTAAAGAATCTTCTGCACCCTGCTCACTCCCTACCTGCTGTCCATGCCTCGCCCCACTGCAGTCTGTCCTCTTGGGAATTTACTCACATCATCATCAAAACCACACACTTGGTTATTCCCGCCTTGGACTCTCTTCTCCTTGGATACTGTGTCACTATGGTCTTGGGGTCTCCTATAATGGGACTGCTTTCCCTCTGCCTCCTTCCTTTATGGACTCCTGGCCCTTTCAAGTAATTAGTAAAATGATTGTTTGGAATTTTCAGAACTTTTAAAATTTCTCTATGTGAAACCACCCAGGCGTAGGGCAGAAAGTGCCTAGATGTGTAGGAAGAGATGTGTCTGGGAGAGGAAGACAAAGTGTATGAAGAATGTGATTTCATTTCCATCGACAAGGCAGTTCTCCAGTGTGAGACTAGAGTGGGTAACCATCACCCGGTGCCTACGGAAACTGCAGGTTCTAGCTTCCTTATTAGAGCGCCTGGTGCAGAACGTACGGTGTGAGGTCAGGGACTATAATGAGTTTCCACAAGTCTCCGAGGTGATTCTGATTAAAGGGGTCCCCAGGATCCCTGAGCAAAGCTGCACACCAGGCTCAGAGGAGGAAGTGTAGGGGCTGCAGGTGCTGGGATGGGAGAGGCTCCAGCAGGGATACCCTGCTCTGCTGACCTGGCATCTTCCCACTTGGACATTCTTCACATTATAGATGAGTATACAGATGATGATGATGATGAGAAAACGTTTTCAGCAGGTAAGTTGGCCATAATGCTTACACCTTGACCTCCCCTTTGTAAATTTAAATTCTTTATTGTTTAAAGTATTACATATGTCTCCTTTTTGTCCCATTAACCTCTCCCTGGCTGTTCCCATCCCTCAGCACATGCCCTCACTCCCCTACTGTCTGTGCATATGCGTTATGCTTATATACATGCATACAAGTCCTTTGGTTGATCTCTTACCCCCCACCCTCCCCTGCCTTCCCTCTCAGGTTGTACAGTCTCTTTGATGCTTCTATGTCTCTGGCTCTATTGTTCATCAGTTTATGTTGTTCATTATATTCCACAAATGAGTGAGATCACGTGATATTTATCTTTCTCTGACTGGCCTATTTCACTTAGCAAAATACTCTCCCGGTCCATCCATGCTGTTTTAAATGGTAAGAGTTTCTTTTTTACAGCAGCATAGCATTCCATTGTGCAGATGTCCCCCAGTTTTTTAATCCACTCATCTGCTGATGGGCACTTACGCTATTTCCAAATCTTAGCTATGGTAAATTGTGCTGCTATGAACATAGGGGTACCTTGACCCTCTTTGACCCATAAACACCCTGCTGGGGCTCAGCCCTGGCAACCCCACAGGGAAACCTTCCCCAGCCATGCTCCTCCACCATCTCCTCATCTCACTGCTGTGACCCACACAGGCCCCTGTCCACAGGGAGATCCTGTCTTCTTTGAGTCCTGGGGTAGGAGTGCGTGTGTTGGGGAGCAGAGACTAAGCTGTTGTGAGTGACTACTTCTGTTCCTCTTTCCCACAGCAGGCATATGTCAGCCACAGTCCTTAAGTGGACAAGAGACTGTAAAGTGTGATGTGATTCCTCCACAAGGCCCCTTTTTACAAGTGAAACCCCATATGATTGCCTTGGCAGTCCTCATCTGAGCCACTGGGCTCTTGTTCCCTTGGCAAAGGGCAGGGGTGGATGGAAAAGAGGGGTCAGGGAATAGCGGGCAGAATGTAGACAGAGTCTTCAGAGACTAACTTTTAGTTGTTGATTTGAATTCTCTCTAAGCAGCAAAGAATGTTCCTGCCTCTGACAAGATGAGTGTGTGTTTGCTGGGGTTGGGCAGGGTCCTCCTTGTACTCATCTGGTTAGCAGGGCAGAGTGCCCCTGCCTTTGTCACAATGGCCTCAGGGATAGGGCATAGTTTCTGTGGGTTCGAAGGGCCAGGCAGGGTCAGGAATGTGGACGGATGGACTGGGATGGAGCAGAAAGAGGTTAAGCAAGAGGGTGGCAGCAGTAGAGGGCGGAAGCCTCGGAAGTGTCTCTAAAGCAAATTTGGGGGGTGAGAAAGGGAGATGACCACTTGTCATTCTCTTTCTAGGAAGAGTGCAGGAATCCCCCGGGCTGGGTGTTCACTAAGAGGTAACCTGAGGCTACTGGGTAGGAAATGGCAGACCTGAGAACCCAAATTGGAGGTTTTGAAACTACTCAGAAAACTGAGCTTTAATTCCAGACTTACAGTTTGGTTATGGCTACTTTTCATTCACTCATTCATTCGTTGATGCATGCAGGAAGCATTTATTGAAGAGTCATTGGGCAAGAGGCTTTATTCTGAGCACTGGGATAGGACAGTGAACCATACAGAAATGCCTGCCTCCCTGGCGCTTCCATTCTTGTGACTTCTCACTCTTACAAGGCCATCTTGAGGCCACCTCAGGTGTCCTGGCAGAAGCAGACAGCCCCCAACATCCACTCCTTGCTTAATTCCTTATAGACCCTGAAGATACAGACACATCTGCATGTATTACCAAACACTGTATATACGTATTCATATAATTGTCATGACACCCTCATTTTGAGGTCCAATGCTGGAATCTCTAACACTTTCATCTCTGGAGTCCAGTCTAGAACCCACATTATTTCCCACGTGTCAGAAGTGAGCACCTGGTCAGTTTCTTCCTCTTCCTGTGACCCTTTCCCAGATCCTCTCCTTTCGTCCCTGCATGTATCCCCACCTCATCTCAGTGGAGACTTTCCATCTGTGTAGCCTGTTGTGGCAATTTATCCCAGAGCTCAAGCATGCCATCTTCAGAGATGCTCTGGGTGAGCAGTTTGAAGGGAAGAGCAATTTTGCTTGTGTTGGAAGGAGAGGAATGGTCTAATCTGAGAATTGTCTGTTTTCTATTTGGCATTAATGCCCGAGGGCAGATTTCTTTCCTTTTTTTCCCTTAAAATTTTTTTTAATTGATTTCAGAGAGGAAGGGAGAGGGAAAGAGAGAGAAAAACATCGATGATGAGAGAGAATCATTAATTGGCTGCCTCCTGCACACCCCACACTGGGGATTGAGCCCACAACCCGGGCATGTGCGCTGACCCCCTGACTGGGAGTCAAACTGTGACCTCTTCTTGGTTCATTGGTCCATACCCATTACCAAAGCTAATCTGGAAGCCCCTGTGGGCAGATTTCAAGCTGCTACAAGAGGAGGTTTCCCAGAACATAAAAGCGGCCGAGCTCTCAAAGGACATGCAAGGTGTTGTGTTCTCCAAACTCCTGGCCATGCTTGGGGACCGCAAGGCTCTTCAGGACCTCATGGACAAGGTGAGGGTCCCCGCCACTTCCTAAGGCTAATCCGACTTGTAAATGGGGGATGTTTCAGGGTCATAGCCAAGGTGTGTGGGGAAAGGAAAATGGGGGTAATCTTAGTGGGATGAGAAGGTTGTCTGAGGTTGGGGACTATGTCCTGTGCCCAATGACCAGGGCCAGGAAGGCAGCCCTCACAACTGGGGGTGCTCCATGTTCCCTGGGGGTTCATGGAGCCATTACCCCCACTCCTTGGTTAATCACTTGTAGACGCAGAATTTACAGGTGAAATCACTGATGTTATTATCACCATCATTAATAAGCCCTGTCTCCTATAGCTTGAAGAGGAACCCTTCGGTCATTTGGATGGCCCTGGTGGCACCATCCTAACTGAACTGCGAAAGGACTTCCGTTATCCAGAGGTTGGCCCAGGGTGCCTCATCCTTTACCTGCTTGAAGCCTTAATGGGTAAGAGTGGTTTGGAGGAAGAATAGGGGTGGGCCTCCCAGAGCCCCATACAGGCTACATTAGGTGTCACCTCTCCAAACCCCTTGACATGCTATGATTTTTCACCCTCACATCACAGGCCTCTCCGAGGTCAGCAGGGCTCAGTGGGATGAGCTTGCCCTGTGATAGAGCCTGAGGCCGGCAAGGCCAGCCAGGTTCATGCGGCGGATCAGTGGGCGGCGATGCCAGGTCCAGCCACAGAAGCCCACCCTGGACCATGTTAGGGAGCTTCCTGAGACCATCCCACGAGTATGAGCAGAAGGGGGACTTTCCAGGGCAGGGAACTTGACCTTCACACCAGCGAGTTTTATTCCTCTGCCTCAGAGTTCGCTTCTAAAGGTCTCAGTTCACCGTGGGGAGAGGAACATCTGACTCTTTCCCCAAATGTCCCCCTGTCCCCAGTGCTGAGTGACATCCAACATGTCCTGCTGGCTCAGTCCATGGAGAAGAGGATCCTCCTTCCGCAGAGGGACCTGGTGAGCAACCCCAGGGGCCAGCGTCCTGGGAATAGAGTGAGGGAAGCGGGATAAGAATGGTTCTGAGAAAGGAGAGATGACTGGGGTTGCTGCTGGGAGGGGAGGGGAGGTCCCGGTGTGGGTCTGGGAATTCCAGGCTGCATCTCTGTCTGGGAAACAGGCCCAGTGGGCATGAGTCTACCTGGGGGAAGGTCTCTGTTTCCATGGCAACCCTGCAGAGCCCCCTCCCCCCCCAGTTCTAAAATAGCCATCTGTGAATACAGGTTTGTGGAGCTCAGGGCATCTGAGTTATACCCCTGATGTACTCATACAGTTACCATTTGCAAATTGGACACACTCTCTCTGTATGCATATATATGTAAGGACATATGTGTGTAGACACGTACATCACACATTGCACACGCAGGCATACGCACACAATTCCAAACCCCACTATTCTGCTGAGTGAGTGTCAGTGTCCCTATTTATCAGCTGAGGAGCCAGGGCTCAGTGATTTCCAACAACGTGTCCATGGTCACACTGACTGCAGACAGGAACAGGTCGCGACCCCAAAGCTCCTGCCCCCACAGTCACCCTGCATGACCCCTGGCCCTTGGGACCGAAGGCTCTCTCTTCCTGACCTCAGAGGCTGGCCTGTAACATCTGATACTGTTTCTTCAAGGTGAGGAGCATCCTGGAGCCCAACATCAACTGCTCTGAGAACACTCCCTTTACCCTCCAGCCTGAGCTCCTGGCCCCACTCCAGGGGGAGGCCTTGGCCATTACCTATGGGCTGCTGGACGAGTGTGGCCTGAAGATGGAGCTGAACAGCCCCAGGTCAACCTGGGACCCGGAAGCCAAGGAGCCCCTGTGTGCCCTCTATGCGGCCCTCTCCGTGCTGAGCCAGCTGGCTGAGGCCTGAGCCCACCTGGGGGCAGGCCAGGGAGTCAGTCCAGTGAGCTAGTCAGTCCTGGTCCTGTCCTTTGCTGCAAACACCCCCAGGCTGTTCTCTGTATCCGTGAGTCTGTATCTATTCCACAAATAAGTGATAAGTCTTTGTCTTTGTCTGTTTGACTTATTTGACTTAGCACAAGGCCTTCGGTTTGTCCATGTTGTCACATATGGGGATGGGTTGGAAGGTGGGGATCATGCATGGACATAGGGAGAACATTGAAGGAGTTTCCCTAATTGCTCGGGCACTCAGTGGTATATTTTAAAAAGTAGGAGCTTGAAAAGTAGATATATTTAATTCTGCTTTAAATAGATTCCAGGAGTATTTTGGGGATATATATATACTCATAGGATCACATCTTTGTGCTTCATCTATTGAATGACTGTAATTAGTGCTATTTTCTAATGAATTTATAATTTACACCAGAAGGTGGCAGCATTGACACACAGAAGGAAGCTTGGTGATGGCAGACACTTTCCTTGATTTGCTTTGAGACTTCTGAGTAAAGGCAGGCCCCTCTCTCTGCTCTGCTCTCCCTCCTACCCCCTTCTCCCTTCCTCTCCCTTTGCTGCCTCCCCACTGCATTGATGTGGAATAGGCTGGGAGAAATGGGGCTGGGGCAGAGGGGGTCAACACTGGCTTCTTTTTATAGCTTCTAGAACCTTCCTTTTAAACACTGCATTGGTTGTATTGAATAATTCCCATAAAGAGCTCTGGGAGGTAAGAGTGAGTTATGGGGAACTTAGAGCTGTTTCCAGTGTTTCCGGAAACGCCAGCCCTTCTGCTGGGATTACTATGGTTGTCTGGGAAAGCTGTTGTCTCATGCTGAGCCCAGGCAGAAGCCATGAAGAGCTTGAATGTTGCTCAGTAAGCAGGGTATATAGTTTCTAAATGAAATCAGCCAAGCATGGGAACATTTCTCAAAATATTGCAACCTTGGTCAACCCATCGGAAAGCAGTGCTGGCACAAATGATAGGGGGACTTATGGCCTGATAGATAGAGCACCTGCATTAATCTGGAAAATAATAATATTATTTTAAATCTTAGAACACATATACTTATGTGAATAGGGGGTTAAGTTGTTCCTAAGTTTTCTTTCCAAGGCCTGTGTGAAGCGATGGAGGAGCTGACTCAGCTGTGAACTCAGCAAGCAGAACCTATAAGCATGGTCAGACCCACCGACCAGGAGTCAAAACATCATCTCATCAACATCATTTCGTTACCTCATGACAATAGCTTATGTCTGGGGACCTCCAGAGCTGTGCATAGCTCCATTGCATCCCCAGCCTCACCCCAGCCCCTTCCCCTGTATAACCCTGTCCCCCATTGAATGCTTGTAAACACCCTCTCTTCTTGGTTAGCTGGCCTTCTCAATAAATGTCTTCTATGATTCGACCTTGCCTTTGTTATTGGACACAGCGACAGGCAGCCCGAGCCCAACCAGGGGTTTCCTGGTAACAAAAATGTGGGAATTTGCTGTCTTCTTGGAGAACGGAGCCCGTCCTCACGAAGACTTGTGGCTGCACAGGTCTGGGCTGGAGTCTGAGGTCAACGCTGGGCGACCTCTGCTAGATAACTCCATTCTCCCCACTTCCTTTATCTCGCTTTATGGGGTTGGTATTGAATCAAATTAAATAATGTCTACAAAGAACCTACCCAGTGCCTAACAGGTAGGTGATACTCAATAAGCTGTTCTCGAGTGAACTGAACTGAGACAACAGTGAGGGATGCCTTGGAAGCCTGGGTGTCCCTGCTGTGGTCCCAGGGCAGCCCCAAAACCAGGGGATGGGAGGAGAGACTCTGTGGTCTGGGATGTTGAACTCTTCAATTTTTAGAAATTCTCAGGCCGTGGAGCATGTCTATGGATGTCCCTCCCCTCCCTCTGGTAGGGACTCTGGGCTCTGCTCTTCTCGCCTGCTTCACAGCCTGCAGTAGAGCACTCATCACTAGTTGTGTGTTTTTTTTAACATCAGGGGTCTTTTAATTTGAATCCAGTTAGCTCTGGGTTATGTGAGATTGGCTTTAAATCCGACCAGTCCTAGTTGTCACAGAGGGAACCAGACAGGGATTTGCTGCCAGGATCCACCTTCTCTCCTTTCTGAGGAGGTGGGGAGCCTAGGCTGACAGTCTCCTAAGATTAGGGAGGAAGGGAGTGTGTGAATGCAGTGTGGGTAAGCTGTGCCAGGCCTTCTTCCTTGGCGTTTTCAGGCCAGCAGGGGGCAGGAGAGTGTGCTCCCACCTGCCCCAGGTGTGCTGGGAGCAGAGGCAGGAGGTCTCCATGCAGCTCAAGTCAGAAAGGTACTGCAGGGGCATCGTGCCCAGCTGGCCTTCCTGTGAATGTCTCTGGTGGATTTGCTTCTAGAGGACATTGAGACCGTCCCCACGTGGGACCGGAGGCCTTCTCCCCCTGTACTTGGGCCTCTCAGGCTGTGTCCTTGCTGATTGTTCCTCCCCTGGATAGAGCGAGGCCCTGCATTCCTTCTACAGGCAGCTCCCTCCCTCCCTCAATAATTGGAACCAATTATGCAAGTTCTAACAGCACTTTTTAGATAATTTCTTATAGTTCCTGTTTAAATAATTATGTATGTATCTATCATTTATCTATCTATCTATCTATCTATCTATCTATCTATCTATCTATCCATCTATCTATCATATCTATCTATCCATTTATGTATGTATCTATCATTTATCTGTCTATTATCTATCTATCTATCTATCTGTCTATCATATCTGTCTATCTACCAATCATTTATCTACCTATCATCTATTTATTTTCTATCTTACTAGTTAGCAGTCCTTCCTTAATTTGGGGCAGCAGCTACTCAGATCTATCCTTCCCACTCATTCATTATAATTTGGGTGGGGCTGGGGTCAGTGTTTTTGTAACAAGCCATGCTCACTGAGCAATGCTGATTGGATGAAAGGAAGGAAGGATGGATGGATGGATGGATGGATGGATGGATGGATGGATGGGTGGATGGATGGATGGATGGATGGGTGGATAGGTGGATAGAAGCATGGATGGGTAGAGGGATGGATGGATGGATGGAAGGAAGGATGGATGGATAGAGGGATGGATGGATGGATGGATAAATGGATTGATGGATAGAAGGATGGATGGATAGGGATGGATGGATGGATGGATGGATGGATGGATGGATGGATTGATGGATGGATTAATGGATAGAAGGATGGATGGATGGATGACTGCAGACTGTTTCTGTCTCTTCGTTCTTTGAGCAAAGACTTATGGAGTCTCGTAAAGCAGAGTCTCTGCTTTACGACGGGCACTGAGCTGTCTCTGGCGACACAGTGGTCATGGACAGATGAGGCGCAGGGGCTCAATTCACTTTCCCCAGCAGCTCCTGGAGGGGCTGGAACCAACCTGTCCGTGAGAGCAGGTGCTGGTGGGGCAAAAGCTGGGTGAGAGGACGCCCTGAAAAGACGTGTGGGGGGAAGGGCATGGGAGACCGAGGCCAGAGCCCGCTGGCTGCTGCAGGACGTCTCCCTGGGGACATCCGGGGGTTTCCTCAGCCCAATGGGAGCGCCAGCCGTGCCCTGTGATGTGTCTGGAACCGCCTCCTGCCAACACACCGTCTGTTCTGAGCATCTCAGTATCGGTGAGAGCCGGCTTTTCCCACCCACGGCGGCCACTTCGCTCAGGGGCCTGTGGGCTCTTCCCAGAGCAAACCCCCGGCAGCGCCCACAGGTCAGGCTCCACCGTTCAGGGCCCTAAATTAAGGGGTGGCTGCGGGTCGGGCCCGGGCCCGTGTCTGCTGCTCGCTCCTTGGAACAATGCGGCCCTTTTATGGCCGTGGGGGCGGCTGGGGGGGGGGCGGGGTGCGCTAGGGGGCAGCTGGGGGGGCGGCTGGGTCTCCTTGGGAAGCCCCTGAAAGACGATGTTAACCGGCTGGGAAACGCCTCCACCGCAGGTTGGTTTGTCTGAGATGCTCTGCCCCGAGCGTATTGGCTGCTGGTTCTTGTCTCTGTCCCGGGCTCTCTGGGCATTTAATGGCCTGGGGGGTGCGCTCTCCACATCTCCAAGGCCCCTCAGTGCACAGAATGCGCTTTAAGACCCCACCACACCACAGCGTCTGGGCTTTCCTCGTGGCACAGGGCGGCTGGCTCCGGGCTCTGAGGGCGCGTTCCTGAGCCAGGGCGTCCTCTCCTCCTGCGGCCACAGAGCCCTGTTGACGCTGGGACACCCCATCCCTGCTCCTGAGAGACTCTGGGCTCCCCCGGCCAGCAGCCCCCCCAAAACAGATGCGCCTGTGGGCCTGTGCGTGTCAGGATGAGCGTTGGCCTCATAGGGCGGTTGCCATCGGAGACGTCTCTGTCTGGTCCAGATCCCGGAGCTTTGGAGGCTCGAGTGTTATCATGGGAGCAGCCTGGGAGCCCCCTGATGACCCAGGAAGGGCGGGGAGCGTGATGGAAGGAGGGGGCCGGGGCAATCCGGGCTTGCAGATGGGAAGGTCTGGTCAAGGTCGCCTGGTCCACACTTTGCCAAATGGAGGGATCTCACCTGACCGGACAGGTGCTTGTCCAGGTGCAGTCTCTCTCTCTCTCTCTCTCTCTCTCTCTCTCTCTCTCTCTCTCTCTCTCTCTCTAAATGTGTGTTATTGGTTTCAGAGGGGAAGGGAGAGGGAGAGGTAGAGAGATAGAAACATCAATGATGAGAGGGAATCATTGATCGGCTGCTTCCTGCACGCCCCCAACTGGGGATCAAGCCCACAACCCGACATGTGGCCTTGACTGGAATCGAACCTGAGACCCTTCAATCTGCAGGTCGATGCTCTATCCACTCAGCCAAACCAGCCAGGGTCAGGTGCAGTCTCCATCTATCTCTCCCCACGCCACGCTCTGGGCCCCGCTGTCCCAAGGCGAGAGGGAGGGTCTTAGGAAACTACAGGAATAGAATGAAACGAGGCTTCAGGTCCCACTCAGGTTCTTCCTCTCAGCCCATCTTTTGTCCAGTTACCCGGCCAGCAGCTGGGATGAGACTCTCCTGGCACCAGCGGCCCCTCTTCCTCCGTCTCTGACCTTGTTCTTATCGTGCAGATACTTTCCAGCCCTGCCGGGTCCAGGTGGGACCTTCTCCCCAGGGACGCAGCCTGTCCCGGAGCCCCAGGCCAGCGGTTCAGGTCTTGCAGCTGGAGCCCACCCTGCCGAGGAGACTTGTGCTGCAGAGGACACATGGCTCCCGACGGCTCGGCACTGTGCTCTGTCTTCTGAGGTGGGCGGTGCACCCACCACTGGTGAGTCCGCCCTGCAGTGGGGTCAGGCTACTGGGCTAGATGCTTTCCTAGGCCATGCAGCTCAGTCCATGCGCAAAACGCTTACCTTCAAGTCCTGGGCTGTCTTGGACCATCGGTCTGTGTCATCCAGGGGTAGCTCATCAGGAGATCCCCAAGCACTTACTGAGAAATGAGAATGAACCCCCCGCGGTGGGGACCTCAGTGAATGATCAGATGTGCCACGTGCTAAGTCAGGACTTTCCCTTTCCCTGTGTCAGATCCCCAAAGCCGAGGGAGACAACATCATCATCATCATCATCATTGTTATTACTGCTGTTCCTGTGCTCAGCTCACAGGCATGGCAGCTGGAGTCCCAGGCTGAAATCCCTACTCCGCCACTTTCTAAGTGGGTCTCTTGGATAAATTGCTTCCTCTCTTGGTGACTCAGTTTTCTCACTCATGGTGGTACCCACTTCCAAGTTATCATGCATTTAAGCACTTGGAACAGTGCCTCAGGAGGCCGGCAGAGGCTGCTCTAAGGCCTCTTCCTTTGCCCGTCCCCGCCCCCTTGCTCAGCCGTGGAAGCCTTAGGTAGCAATGCTTCACTGCTTGGCCACAGCCAAGGGCCTCGCTTTCATCGATGTTGAACTTGTTGCCTTGCAGCTGGAAAGACCATTTGATTAATTTGCTTGTTGAGGAAAAACAACAACAGTGTCTCTGGTATCATGGTGAAGAGAATGGAATTGGCCTTGGGAACATTTGGTATTGGGAACCAGGCTGTGCCCTGTCCCACTGGTGACCTTGGGCCGGTCCAGTCACCAGATTTCTTCCATGTCTGTTTTCTCACCTGTATGAGAAGGAGAATGGCACTGACTCACAGGGCTGCCTCGGGCCCACGCGGTGACACGGATAGGAGTGGGTGTGGAAGCATCTTGCTAACCTCTCTTGAAGCTTTGACTTTCTTTCTTTCTTTCTTTCTTTCTTTCTTTCTTTCTTTCTTTGTTTGTTTGTTTGTTTCTTTCCTTCCTTCTTTCTTTCTTTCTTTCTTTTCTTATTGATTTCAGAGAGGAAGGGAGAGGGGGAGAGAGATAGACACATCAATGATGAGAGAGAATCATTGATCGGCTGCCTCCTGCACATCCCCACTGGGGATTGAGC